CTCTAGTTTTTTTTATATTTTTTCTCTCTTTTTTGTTGCTATGCGTTGCTGTTGTTTGTGGGTGATTTGTTGGTGTGATTGGCATTGAATTTGGGACTCTGCTGAGGCTGAAGGTTAACAGCGGGGCTGAAGGGGTGTAGGGGGAGGGCTGCTGGTCAGTGACAGCTGCTCCAAACTGTCTGCCACAGACCGTGGCAAGCCAAGGGCAACAGAAGCCGCCCAGTTGCAGCTTTCAATGATGCTTGGAGCCTCATCAGATGCAGACAGCAACAGGAGACAGGAGATGGTGGGAGAAGAGCACCGTATGGGGGGGCGGAGGGGAGCAGAGTCACTTGTAAACTGATATCCTCTGGCTGCTGTCGTCGAAGATGCTGAGGGCTACGCTCTTTGGGGGAGCAGGAGAATCCGAAAGACAACTTCGCTTTTAATTTTCGCTTTACGAATAACCCCAAAGATGCAGAGGGTGCAATGACTCTAGCGATAAGTCGGAGCACCCGAGATTAGATTACTATATTTTACAGTGTAGCTGCCATTTGATCGATCGGTTTAAAAATCAATTTGACTCCCAAGAGAATTCCCCCGAACGATTGAAGCTAAAGTTGTATGTGGTACAACCAGAGAAAAAAGCCCTGAAATTGTATTATTTATACTTCTATTTAAAAATGTAAACCAATATCCGAGAGTGGAAGTTTGTTTCTCCTTTTTCGATTTTTTCTTATAAATATTTGATTTAAATATATTTCATATTTAAATAGAAATATTTCCTGTGAACTAAATATAATTTACTGATTCTAAGGTGTTAGTTAGTTATGTTTAATTATACTTGATTGTATTTTTTGAGCAAATATTTAATGTAAATATGGGTATGTTTCCTATTAATCTGCCATTTTTCGCTGTGCTTAGATACATAGCTTGCGCAAAAGGAATCCACATCGGAAGGAACACTTTATCCCATAGCTGCCAAAGGAACAATCGTTTGCTTCTTTATTTAGTTTTGTGGCTATTTTTAGTTGGATTTAAACATGAAATGAATGAGAATTTGCATCTTCTTGGTGTATATTTGCACATTTCCACATAAGTATCTTTTTTTATTTGGAGGAAGGGTCTAAGTGTTCGCATGCCTCGCTCTGTTTGCTCTCAACGTTAGCGCCTCGAATTCAATTTCAATGCGGATTCTCATCAGAGATTTATATTTCGGTCTAAAGGAGCTGCTGCTGCTGCTGGAGCTGGAGCTGAAGCTAGAGCTGGGGCTGGGGCCTCCCCCTGACCCACAAAACTGCTCGCTTTTGCTTATTTGTAATTGATACTTGATCTGTTGGAGCGTATAAAAGCCACTTTAGGCGTTGGCATTACGTCACCTTGAGTCAGCGTCACAGCCAGCAGGCGTCACAGCCAGCCACAGAGACAGATACAGCGTCAGATACAGATATAGAGTCCAAGTCCGAGTCGCAATCCGAGAACGAACGGGCACAAGCTGGAGGCAGAATCAACGCACTCAAACTGCTCTCCTAATCAGCATTCGGAGAGATCTTTTAAATCTTTAGATCTCTCTGACGTATACACCGAATGACCGTGTCTCCCTGTGGTTCTTTGTCCGCTGTAATCCTTCCATTATCGATTTGTCTGTACAAAACAGTAGCTTATCCTGTGCATAGGTATAGCTACAAATGAGTATCTGAGACTAGTACGAGCCTTAGGAATCCACCACTCCAGCATTCCCGCATCGGAAATACCTCGTTCTGGCAGTGGAAAACTTCTGGTCTTAATCGCTTTGCTGGGCATACAAATTTAATTAAAAAAAACTTCAAGCCAAGCCAAGTCCAAGTTCAAATCTCAATCAAGCCAAATGGCGACAGCCAATTCCTCTGTTGGTCAGCCCCGTGAGAGCCGTAATCCGTAAGCCGAGAGCGGGAGATCTGTGATCTGTGATCTGTGATCTGAGATCGCCACCAGCAGCCACAATCGGGTTGACTTTGCATCGAGAGTGGAACAGCTGTTTTGGTTTTCAGTTTAAATCTGCCACTGCCACTGGCTCTGGCTCTGGCATTGCGCTCTTCACGCTTCGGAAATCTGCTCGAGAGATTTTTAACGACAAAAGTCTGAAAACTGAAACTGGTCTGGCTGCCCCCGTCCCTGCCACTGTCCCCTCACCCAACACCCAACCCTGTCCCATGTGTGTGCTGCGAGCTGAATGTTGAATGTTGAAAAGAAAACATCGTACATTCTACGCGAACAATTTAAAAATTGTATACAAAAGTTCAACTGTGGCTTACAATATTTTATTTATTTGATGAATTTCTGTTGCTGTTTTGCTCTCGCTTCTGCTTCTGCTGCCTCTACTGTTGCTGTTGCTGTTGCTGTTGGAGTTGTTTAATTAATCAGTTTAATTTTAATTTTCCATAAATAAAGGCAGCAAATTGTTGGCCATTGTTCTGCTGCTGCTGCTGCTACTGGCCCACAAGCTGAATGTCAGAATGGAATCTGCAGTCTGGAATGGCCGACCAGCGAGAGACCGGAGACCCTTCAAAAGAAACAGAACAGAGCCGAAACAAGTGCGGGGAAAACCTCCGAAAGTGGGTGGCATAATGGGGCACACCAACTGCTGACTTGCCTTGCCTTGCCTTGTCCCATTGTTGTCGGTGTTCTCGTCGTACCCTTAAAAAGAGTTCCAGAGCATAATGCCCCGCCGCAAAGCGCTGGGGTCCACGTCTGGGATCGTTGGTGGATCCATTGTAATGTCGCTTTGATATACACACATATATCCCTCCCCCCATAATAATTATGTATAATTTATAAAATGGCTGTCCAGGGTATTCCGTGCTTCGACCTCCAGAGGTAGCCGTTGGCTGCCGCTGGTCACCCAGGCAGAGGCCAGCAGGAGCTGCAAGAAATGTCCTGCGGTAATAAAGTGAAAAACGAAACTCGAGGCGAGATGTGGCACAGGGCCGGGGCCGGGGCCCCCACTCTCTTGTGGTCAGAAGCCGAAGAAAGGGAATAAAAACGACTGCTGCATGGAAATGCATTTGAATGAAGCAACCACGAGCCGGGGGCTCAGCCAAGACCCATTGAAAGTTCACTCAGGGGGGACGGGACGGGGGGGACTAAAGCTTTGCTTCGATACTAGCTTCTACTAGTTTCTCGAAGAACAGCAGCAGGCAAAAATCAGCTTCCTATCTATACTAAAGAAAAGAATCTATCGTTAAGATATCCTTGTATCAGGGTAAAGATAGAATTTTTAATTGCGAATCATATCTTCCTTTTTGGTACCAATATTCTGAATAGTGTTTATTTTTGTTTCGAAATGTTCGGATGATTATTTCCTTATTCCTGGAGCGGGGGCGGAACCCTCTTGGGAAGCAAACAATTGAATCAAATGGGAACGACTGTCTTCCCATCACTGGGCTAAATATACAGTATTTTATGTACATTTTGTAGCACCCTTTTCCTTGTTGCCTTTGACTGTGGCTGCATTGCATCATTCTGAACAGTTTCCACTCGTCTATATTGCTTCTGTGAACCCTCCACGCCCTTGCACGCCCCGTCCTCGCCCCTGCTCGACCCTCCGCTGTCAAAGCGTCGAGCGTTCTGTTTGGTATTGAAATTCTAGACAAGATTGCGCTCAACTGCACCCGCCGCATTCTCCGGGGAATGCGCTTGGAGCTGTGTGCAAGTATCTCACAGATACATCGGTGGAATGCAATGCGCCAGCCACTGGGTAAGCGGTGCTATAGGGTCGGGTCGGGGCGGGGCGGGACGGAAGGGGAGTCGCAGTCAGTCTTTGCCCGTTATCACCGCAAACAGAGGAAGCAATTTGGCTATAACGCAGTGCCCAGTGCTCCTCCTCTACCCCATTCCTCCGTTCCGTCCGCTAACGAAGCCAAAAAAATAGCAGGACGGAATAGGAAGCAGAGCTGTTTGGCTATTAACCCACTGAAGGCCAAGAGCATCTGGCAGATACAATTTCGATATCGATGAAGAAGCTGCATACTAGATCCCCACCCCAAGCCCCTCAGTCGGGGCTTACTAACGCCTTCGACTAGTTTATGCGGTGGGCTGGGTCGGGGCTGGGTCGGAGGCGGGCGCTGAGGTTGCGGCTGTAGTTGGACTTGGGAATGGTAGTTAACGACTGCAAAATGGCGTGCAAATGTAGGTCGGAGGGTTCGACTGTTTGTTACTCTACAGCGGAAGTCGAAGGATGTCGCAGGAGTCGCTAAGCATGTGTCTGATGATGTTCAGCACAAAACAGGGAGCTCTTGAACTAATTGAGAAACCTATTTTTCCCACGTGCAATGCAGAGTGTCACAAGCCTGGCCCCCTGCCGCAAGACTCCAAGTGGAAATGCCGTTTAATAGATATCATTGGCGGGTGGCTGGGTGACTGTGTCGTGGGGCCAGAGCCCGAGGCAGGTTAGGGAATTGTTTATGGGTTGGCGTTGGCTTTTGCAAATCTTTCGTGCACCTTTTCCACAGAAACTGCAGGAGTGGGAGCGAGAACGATCTTCAACAACAACAACAACAACAAAAACAAAGAAAGAGAGGGAGAAACACGCGAAGGGCCGGCCTGCCCAAGGAATAAATGTCATGAGGTGAGGCATAGCCTACTATCGTGAGGACTCTTTTTCGCTGTTAAATGTAATCGAACCTATGGTCAGTGACCAAGATGAGGCCGTACTTTCGGACAGCCCTACCTTATGGCTAGTATACCTTGGGACTACCTGCCTGCTGCCGGAGATCATTCACTGCTGTTCTCTCCCTTTCTGGCGCTCTCTCTCTTTCTCACTGTGTCGCTGGCCCTTGCTGTCTGTCCCTCTCTCGCGCGCTCCTTTGCCGGCGCCGTTCAAGAAGATCACTCTTGCAGTTTTCTGTATCTCGACGTCGCTGCTGTGCTCCGTTTCTTCGCTTTGCATTTGTGTTGGTAGTGATTTGTAATGGTATTTCGTATTTTGTATTTTGTAGAATGCAGAACGAATGCGAGATCTGCGAGTAGAACGTAGAACTTACCTTTGAGTACGAGTACATTGTATCTTGTATCTCTCTGCCGTATGTACTATGTATCTCTGCCACTGCCAAGCCAGTCACCAATCAAAGCACAACAAAAAAAAAAGGTCACACAACAAAAAATAATAACAGAACACGCACACACACAGACGCACACGCACAACAGTTTAATTCTTACAATACAATTACAACAACAACAACAACAACATAGCAACAACACAAAAAGAGAGTTAAAACTATTATAGTGTTATTTTTTAAACACGTTTTCCCATGGCAGAAGGTTTGTCGTCGACCACTGGTCGATGAGCGGGAGGGGGGAATTGCAAAGATTTAAACACAACACTCACACACAGACACACACACGCACACACGTACACGTTGCACTAGTTGCTGCTGCGCTGCCGCTGCCGCCGCCGAAATCAAAAGTCAACGTCAACGTACTATTATTGTTGCTAGCGGTTCTTATCGCGCGCTGCTGCACGCTCCGTTCGGAGTGGATTTTTTGTTGTTCTGGCTGTTGCTGCTGCTGCTGTTTTGTCTGCAGTTTTTGGATTTTCGTAGATTTTTCCGGTCGCTCGCCCGAAACGTCCGCCACCCGCGACTTTACCGTTCGAAACCAGAAAACCGTTTGACGTTTGAAAACGCTGCACATAGGGATGTTGCATGGATATACATATCAAATATTTTGATATATTTCTTTTGCCGATAATATACTTGCAGGTGATAATTCGTTTTGCCGAGAATATCAGTATGGATATTTTTGTGGGTAATCAACGTAATTTTCTGAATTCAGAAAAAAATTCAACATGTTGTTTCATTCAGTTGGTTGCAGTTCAAATGGGGCGGCAAGGCCGTTTCAAATACGCCCGCCTTCCAATGTTGCTGGTCCTTAAATATGTTGCCCGGCCACATGTGGCTTGACAAGCTATGTTTCTGAGAAGAGAAAGGTATGGACCACCAGAAACACACTGTGACGCACTCAATCCTAAGCTCACCCTTTTTCACAAAATGCTTTTATTTTTGTAAGAATTTATAAAAATCATGGCAACAAAATGGGAATCTAAGGTGAGGTGCGGTTCCATACCTTTCCAAGGCCCAGTGGCTCGCTCGAGTCGAATTTCGAGCCCGCTCAGCCAGTTCGATCAAACCAAAGAGCGCATTTTTACGCTCTCAGACTCAGGATTGCGTGTCGAGTATGAGCAAATGTTGCTGGAAAGTCCGGACTCATGCTCTGCAAACATCTTTGGGCCCTGTACAAGATTTAGGTGGAGGCAAGGCCGTTTCAAATACACCCACTGCAAATGCTTTTTGTAAACTTACTGCGCAACATACTGTCATTGTTGAGAAAGTTTACAACGTTATAGCTCTCGCAAGACTCAGTTTTTCGTTTAAAGTATGAGTTGGTTAAAATCGCCTCGACACGCTCCCTGGGCGAACAAAACACAACATGTTCGATGGGCGAATGCAAATGCATTTGTTCGGGTCGGTCGTGGTTCGGCTGGATGGTTGCAACCTGCTGATTCCCCCGATCGAACCAATTCCAAATCGGAGTGTAGGAATTGTATATGGATGTTTTCGAAAGATGTACACATGTAGGAACTTAAAGAGATTTGATAGAAGAGAAGTCTTAATGATGAGATCAATCGGAATGGAAAAATAAATAGAGACATTGATTCGGAATAAAAAAGGAATATACATATAGTAGGACTAGGAATATTTCAAACGTGGATAGGCCAGAAATATACACGGACCCACCCGTAGCCAACTGCAACGGTGGCTGTCCGCCCACTATAGCTTTTCCCGTCTACCCACTTAAACCACTCAAAGTCGCCCGTCTCCTGCACCTCCTGCATACACTCGTAATAACAGTTGAAACCGCCAAACTGACAGTTTGAATATGTCAAAAGAGTGCATGAACATTCCAAATGTAATTCAATTTACTTTCTGCGGTGGGGCTAATGAATGGATACTTTTGAATCGAGACTGACACTAAAACTGAATCTCATTAGCGAACTGTCCGAATATGGATCATGAGAGAATGGGAACATCGGAATGGTATGGGGACCAGTGGCAGAATAGGCCGATGTAGCATTCATCGGAACAGAATAGCATTGGATATCGGTGGAGAATCTTTTTTTAGGCCCTGTCAATGCACGAGGACGTGCTACTCCATCGACCATCCCTCGGGGATGAGCCTTTTCTCCGGTTTCCTCCTCATTAGTGAACAGAGCCAATAAAAACCGCAAAATGAACAATTCGAATAATTAAGAGCCAAACAGAATGTCAAAACAATACAAGTTAATTATTTTTCGAAATTTAACTCAATTTCCGTTCGGTGGTTGGGAACGGCAATGGGCTGGAATGGGCTGGGTTGGGCTGGACTGTCGCTGTCGCTGTCGCTGTCCATTCGCGTTGTTACGAAACTGACACCGAAACCGAACCGAATCTCATCAGCGGACTTTCCGGAATCAACAGCCAGCGCCTGTATGTGACCTCTGACGCTGATTGGGATTATGGTTATGATACTCGTGCCACTAGGGACTGAGAAGCGTCCCAAATTAAAATCCGCTCCTAATTAGCGAGCCTTTCACCAGTTGTCCGGATCGGGGCACAACATCGGGCAAAACAAACCAACAAATTCTAATTGAATTCTGACGAGTAACGAGGAATGGCCGAATGGTGCCACATAAATAAATATGTATGCATGAATGTGCATACCCTTGGCTAGGGCATTACCTGAGGCTTATTACCTCGGGACCATACATAAGATAGATTACATAAAAAAAGTACTGAATATATAAATATGTATGTACATACATATATCTACCTATCTGCTAGTTAATTAAAATATATTAATCGGTGACCTTTGATCTGTAAGTAAGAACAAAATAGGAAAGAATAAAACCTCCAAAATATGAATCTAAGCCACCGAATGGACCATATTCCAGCCGGTCAGCCTGCCTGGCTGCAGGGCCGAGCTGCAGAGCTGTTGATCCCCCAGCTGTCCATCCATCAAGGTTTCCCCCCAGCCCCCCAGCCTGGTGTCTTATAAATCTCCGAAGCTGTCGAATTAAGCGCCCGCTAGCCTGCTGGCCCGGACCCGCTCTCTGGAGCCGGAGCCGGGGCCGGCCCAGGGCCGATCCAACATATTGCTAGCCATAATTCCTGGAAACTTTGCCATCCTGTCAATTAGAAGCCGTCAACAGTTGCAGTTGGCCCGGGGACTGTCCCTGTTCCTCCCCCCCACCCCACTATCCGGGTGCACACGGGCACGGCTCAGACTGCTCTTCCGTGATTTTCCCTCAACTTCCTGTCGCTGGGCGAACTCATTTCGCAGTAAATTAAAAAAAATTGTTAGCTGTGGCAGTTGCAGGGCGGCTCTGTATGTGTCTGTGTATGTGTCTGTGTCTATGGGTATGTCTGTGGAGCAGGCAGACTCCTCTGTGCCAGAGCTGCGGTCGAATCGAAGGGCATTTGGAGGCCGACATTCGACTGGGCACAGCACCCGCCACTCCGTGGCTCCATCTGCAATCCAATCCCTTCGGCATAAATAATTTAGAGAAAACGAAAGGCCCGGCATCTGAAATACGAGTTGAGGACTCGAAAGGGACTCTCCGGACATTTTTGCCGTGTCCTTGGGCACAGCCTCCTGCCTCCGGCCCACCTCTGGCAAATGAGAAATGCAGTCAACTTAATCAAAGGTCCGCCCAATCCACAATCCTGCTGCTGTGCCACAAGGCAGGACCCGAGCTCCTCCAGCCCTCCCTCTGCCTGCCTGCCCATCTCTAAGAGTGTCCCGTGGAGCTTCAACAGGTTCGGCATCCGTTTTCACTTTCAGGCCCAGCAGCAGAAGCACCTGGAAAGCGGGTGGCCACCACCACCAGCGAAGCGGGGAGCCGGGGCAGGGAGGACACGTGTTGCATCTTGCATTACAGCTGCAACGGCTGTGGCAGCGGCGATGACTAATTGGTGCTTGTTAGCTGGACGCCGAACACTGGTGGAACCAAAGCGTGTAATTGCGGAAAATTGGGAGCCAAAGCCAGCCGCCCCTGCCGCTCAGGACACGCTGTGGCATCGTCCTTGAACAATGGAATTTGATTTCTGCCTCTGTGAAAATTAACGCCCAGCGCACAGAATGTGGGGGCGGACCCATCCGCTGGATCATTTCTGCCCATCCCCCACTCTGGCCTTGCCCCAAAATCTCTCATTTCATTTCAAGCCGAAGAGGGTAGGCAGCCAGTTCTCTTGCAGGAAAGGCTTGCCGCTTGCTCTGGCTTGCTCCTTGGTGTCTTGCTGTATAACCCTGATTAAAGGGAGGACATAACCATAGAGCAGACTGGAGACAAAGTTATCTCCCGATGCCATGCAGCGTCCAAGGAGGCTGGACAGGATTGACAGAGGTAACATCTGCTTTAAAATCACCATCTTCTGGTTACAACGGGTGGCGGGGCTGGCTGCGACACCTTGGTACACCCCATTTGATATTTTATGGCCTGTGCAGCCAGCAGCTGCGCTGCTCCGCTCCCAAGAAATGAACCCAGAGCACTCTGCGAGTGTCAGCGGTGCAAGCTGCTCGACTCCAGCTGCTCCTCTCATAGTAATTGCATTTATTTTATGCCCTACCACCCACCACCCACCTCTCGCTACGCGTCCTGTTGACATGCATTTTGTTACGTTTGCCCCAGCACTTGCAGCTGGATCTGCTTTCTGAACAGAATGTATTCTAATTAGGGAGCCAAAGCCAGCTCTCCTGCCATGACAGCCAACGAATGGTCTTGTCCCAGCCACTGTGCCACTCACGGTTGCTGGGGCAGTGGCTGAGCCAGTGCCAGTGCCAGTGGCAGTGGTAGCTTCCCTTCCCCATCAATTGGCATCATGCTGCTTATTTATTTACGACGCAGTTGCGCTCTCTACTGCCACACTGACACACTGCCATCCTGCAGGTGCGTATGGATGGGAGGCTCCAGTCTCCAGTTCTGCAGTCCTTTGAGTGTTCGAGTATGATTTTCTCTGCCAGTTTCTGTCCATGGCTGTCCTCTTATCCCTATGTTTGCCCTCTGCTGTCCGTTATTATCCTCTTTTGTTATTCTTCTAGCCATCTACTCGCACTCTCACTCGCACTCCAACTGTAAA